ACCTTAAACAATTACTGACTCGTGTGCTACGAGAGTTAAAAAGCAAACTAGCTTCGTCTCTCATTTGGCAGATAAAAATTGATTATTTAATTCGAATAGAAATTATCTAACAAAAATTATGTTTTATCTTAAGTCATCAGTAAAAATGCATTTTATCTGATTACTCTGTTTATTTGCGGTTTTAAAAGTGCTGGAACTATTGAAGCTCTTGAACCCTTACTATTGCATGCGTTTTTACATATTTCATTTAAAATACTTTCACTTTAAATCAAAGTGTAGGTCATTTAAAGTAAAGAGGAAGAAAAAAAATAGGTTGCCCTGTTAAATTTGCCTTATTCCTAATATTACCTGATTTAGGTATTTCAGTTTTTATATATAGTTAAATTTGAATAAGATGTAAATAAAGACAGAATAAGTTAAGTTTTCTATCACGAAAAAATGAAATTAAATGAATTATAGAAAAAGCTCGTGACAGTGTCAAATGAAGCTTCAAAGCAATTTCTTATCATTCATTATTCAAGTTATTGTACTTATCATTTTATTTTGCTCATTATTAAAAGGAATCTCAAGAAAATAATTAAAAAACTAATCATTTATGTACTTTTTTTTAATTATCCTTTCTGAAAATGCAATGAACCTTTGTTTTACCGAAGCATATTTAAAAGAAAATACTAAAACCGAATGAATAAATAAAACTTTAACAAATTGATTTTTTACGTAAGTAATATTAGAATAAATTTTCGCGACATAAATTTAAAATTAAAAAAATAAATATATATTTAATTTTAATTACATACTTAAAATTGAAAATTTATTTCAAATGAAATTTAAAAAAATATATTCTTATCTTTGCTATGATAAATTTTAAATTACAAATAAATTATAATGCCGTAATAATAAAGCATAATATATTATAATAAATTATAATATATACCAAGGACAATAATAGATACAAGAATAAAACTATGAATACACTCCATCAGAAAAATTTTAATGATTGCCCGATTAAATTAGGTTTTATGAAGAGTGTGAATGACGCATAAATGATTCACTCCATTAAGAACCGTGGCTGTATCATTAAATTAACATTTCTAGGAAATCCGATTCTAGTTTATTTATGCATAAAATATACTGAATTTAATAATATTTATATATGGAACATTTAACAAAATTTTTGTAGAAAAATAACTGTAATAGAACTATTAAAGAACCGTGGCTGAATCACTCAATTAATATTACTATGAAATACGATTCTAGTTTATTTAAGGTGACAAGGGACTTTCAAAGAAGCAAAAATTTGTCAAAAAATCGATATTTTGCATTTTATATTTCTGAAATCTTGGCATTTAACTGAACATTTAAAAANGGCTGAATCATTAAATTAATATTACTAAGAAATACGATTCTAGTTTATTTAAGCCTAAAATATACTGAATTTAATAACGTTTATTTGTGGAATATTTAACAAAATTTTTACAAAAAAAATAACTATAATAGAATTATTAAAGAACCGTGGCTGAATCATTCAATTAATATTACTATGAAATACGATTCTAGTTTATTTAAGCCTAAAATATACTGAATTTAATAATATTTATTTGTGGAACATTTAACAAAATTTTAATAATTTTTTTTTAAAAAGAACTATTAAAGGATTGTGGATGAATCCCTCAATTAATATTACTATGAAATACGATTCTAGTTTATTTAAGCATTAAATATACTGAATTTAATAATGTTTATCTGTGGAACACTTAACGAAATTTTTATATATTATATTACGAATAAAATATATATTTATAAGCAACATAAAAATATGAATGCACTTATTCAAAACTTCAGCGTCGCCCGAATTAAAACTAAGTTCAATGAAGTGCAAAAATGACGCATAAATGATTCAACGGAAGTAGCTCTTTAAAGAAGCGTGAATGAATCATTCACTTATTATTATTATTAACCCAATCCTAGCTGATCTATGCACAAAATATATTGACTCTAACAACGTTTCTGCGCGATACATTTAATGACAAATAATAAAAATAAATAACAAAAACAAAAAATTGTATTCTAACACTCAGTCTCATTTGCTCACTGAGTCAATTTGTTGCGATGAATAAATTTGAAGGATGCTTTAACATTTGTTATGACAAGTCTTGTGTTCAAGGTGACGCAATTCATTTAATGTGACTCATTCTTTCTTTGATTTTGATCGAGAGAGAAAAGTGAAGATCAGCTGGACTTCGATTACGTCATTCTTACGCGAAAGGATGTTCTCTTTTACTATGACCTGATTACAATATCTTTATGAATCATTCATTCATTCAAATATGCGCTTGGGAGAAAATTTCCCTTTTCTTTATACTACCTGTTTGTAAGAAAAAAGATGGAATAGTAGAAAATTCATAATCGTATTATTTTTTCAGTAGAATACTATAAAATTGATATTACATTTATATTTGCAAATAACATTACAAAGCTTTCAGTATTGAGGTAACTAAAAATTTTAAGAAATCACAATCATCCAACATTATAAATTTTTAAAGCAGCTTAAAGATTATTGATTCGTTTTACTCTTAAACTTCTCGAACAAATTTTCCCTTTTTTTATTAATTAAGGAATATTTTAATGATTTATAAGCTAGGAAAATAATATAAATAGATTTTTTATGCACTTCTTTAGTACAATTTAGTTTTTATTAGTGCTTTTAATGTTTTAAATGGTTGCTATAAATCTTCAGGAATAACAATAAATATATATTTTAAATTTTTTAAGTAGATGTAAGCGGTTTTCTTCACCCTTTTTTAACCCTGTTTACGCTTGCTTTTTTACCACATCTGCCAGGTTTTAATATTGAATAATTTAACAATCAACAAATGAGGAAAAATCAAAATGGATTTTTTTTTGTAGTTATGTAATTTAATTTTGTTTTGATTTGTGCTTTAGATAATATTTGATGAAGAAATGATAATTCTAATAGTCTAAAAAATACTTCTTTAGTAATAAATAAAAATTAAGAAATTTATAAATAATATAATATTCCTTTGCTTACATTTTTCGAAGATTGTCTGATCGAAGATAGTTTCGAAGAAAATGTGACAACTTCTAAGCACACTGCGATTATAATTCATCTTAAAAATATTTGATGAGCTTTAAACATTATCAGAAGCCTATTTCTATGTTCATGAAATAATACAAAGGAATTGGAAGAATGCACGTTTAAATAATTTGTAAAAAGACATTATATGAAATTATTTCGAAACATTTTGCGCAAAATTATTACATCCTGCGACTTGGCTACTTTCCTGCAATACAAACTCACTATTCCCTATGTAGAAAAGGTGCATGGAGGGAAAGCAACCATACACGCATTTGACACACAGTGTTAGAATGTAAAGACATTTAACATTTTTTTTCTCTCTCTTTTCTTTAAACTTACAAGGGTTAGTATTTAAAATAAAGGTATAATAATAATTTTTTAACTTATTTTATGGGTTCAATGTACATGCAGTTTATGCGCAGCAAATAAAAAATTTTATTATTTTTCTTATTTAACTTTCTTTATTGTTATATATGTATATAAATAAATAATTTGTTAAAATTTTAAAAAATAAATATAAATACAGGACATGTTAACAAAAAAGTAAACCTTTTCTTAAAAAGAAATTTCAATTTATAAAAGATCGGTATTTAGAAAAAATGCAGAATTATATCACAGTAGCTAATAATCATATATTAACAATAAATAACTTTTTGAACAATAAATATTTATGTTTGCAATACTTAATACAGTTCTGCAAATGGTAAAAAAAAGCGCAATGATAATCCTAGATTTGAAGAAAAATTATCAATAAAGACCTATGCTAGTGATAAGATTGGTCTTGATCCTTAGTTTTCAACAAAACGTCAAAAAAATATTATCTATGCCGCATAACGTTTATGTAGTAATTGAAACAATAAAGTAATTTAACTAACAATACCAATTAATATTGACTCTAAACAATTAGTTATTAATTTATCATTACTTTTTTCATAATTTTATGAATTTTTACTCTTAAGCTGAATGTCTCAACAATTTAGAATTGGAAAGAAATATGCAGTTTTAAGATATAAAATACAAATGTATAGATAATAATACATTTAATTGAGCGTTATTTTCCTAGGTAAACAAAAGTAAAGTACCATTTACTACCGATACTAAAGAAATACTCAGTGAAAAATGTTGAATTGATTCGATAAACAAGATATTGAATGAGTTCTAAAAAAACTTGTATTTAATTTAAATAAACATTAAGCTAATTGGAAATAATTAAAAGAGAAATACCAAACAACAAATTATTTAACATGCAACTGATGAAAAATTGTATTTTTAGTCACATTTTCTTTTTTTTTAATTTTATTTAATAGTCTATTTTAAACATAAAATAATTAGTTAGACATTGCTTTTCTTAAAACCTTCAAAAAACAAAACAGTAATAACATCTCAATATCAATGAAATTAGGTAATAAGATATTTTCGAATTAATTGATTTTGCTAAACAACAATTGATTACAAAAGAAATAATATTTATATCAATAATTCTTAAAATTTAAATTATGTACATTTGTATTCTAAATATTGACTGGTTTTTGCTCAAAAATAAAATAATTTGTGGTGACAAAATGCATCGAATAGAAAGATAATAAAATTCATACTAAAGTTATATTTTAAAATGCATTAAAAACTAGAAAAATTTTCACAAAATGAAAAAAAATTGCAAATTATAATTATTAATTAAAATAATATAGCGGAGAAAACTCACCATAGCNTTTAATTTTTGATAATAATATATTCTCAAAAATAATATATTTGTGGTGACAAAAATGCATCGAATAGAAAGATAATAAAATTCATACTAAAGTTATATTTTAAAATGCATTAAAAACTAGAAAAATTTTCACAAAATGAAAAAAAATTGCAAATTATAATTATTAATTAAAATAATATAGCGGAGAAAACTCACCATAGCTTGAATTTCAGATGCTATAGCCGGTGCGGCCGATGTTAGCTGCATATTTCCAAAATGTGGTAAAACTATCACACTTAAAAAAGCGCGGAAAACATAAAACAGATATTGAACAGACACCATCTTTTACCCCCTTTGACTAGTCGAAAAGTGAATGACTTTATCCGTAAGCTCCTACGGCTGCTGATGAAAGAGGTTTGCCTTGAGGTCCGGTCTCTCAGCCGCTTTTTGACAGAAAAAAATAGTTCCAGATTTCCGACCTTATCGCCAATATCTTGGCGAGATAACAAGATAATGTTTGTTTCTCCGTAAATTATCGCGATTTGATTGTTTTGTTTGTGTTAGAAGAAAAAGTTATGCGAGGTGCTTCTTCAATAAATTGGAGGAAGCAGTAAAAATAAAATTTTCTTGAGAATTGTGTGAAAACAGAAAGAAAAAAAACTCTTCCGTAAATATTCTTTTCCTTTTCCTTAAAGTTTTCCCGTGAAATCGAGCAGGGAATGTTTTATTGTGCAAATTATATGTTATTGGGCAGATTCTGCGAAATGAAAGCAATAGAAAGGCTTTGAACTTCAAGATCAAGGCTACAAGCCCATTTAAAAGATGTTTTTGAATGAATATTCTCAGACTAAAAATAATTTTCACGCAAATAACTTTCGTTCTTTTCTTCCATTATTATCAATATTGTTGTGACAAACACTGAAGATAAAGCATTTTTATTCATCTTGCATAAAAATATAGCTTATAGAATGGGCAATAATAAACAACTCTTGATTTATTAAATATTTCACCATCATTTCATTTTTTTTCATTAATTTTAATTTCTATACCATGCGTAGTTGCATAATTTGTTTGGCTTATTGTATAGCTTTATTTAGCTATACTGTTCAGAGCACAGTTTACGCAAAAAATTGTTTTCCTTGAGATACTACATAAAATTATTCATTATTCCAAAAATAAAATATGTGTAAGCGTATTTAACGAAGGAAAATAAACCATATTTCCTGCAAAATGTCATACATAAATAAATAAGACTGGAATTATACCTTGGAATATTGACTTATCCTTTAGATATTCTTACGCAATAAAATACATTTTTTAATCAAGTAACAAAAACACTCAATGTACCAAAACACCAAAATTAAATTGGTTTTAAATGTTATCATTTTCGTATTAATAAAAAAAGAAATTGTAGCAATTTGGTAACTTTCATTCCAAGATTCGCCTATGAATCTCACAAAGAAATATCCCCTCATCAGCTATGAAACAATTATATTAGAACTATGGGCTTTGTTTTGTACGAACTGCAACAAAATAAACAAAATTAATATAAAGTTTGAAATTTTAAAAACAAATCAAACTTTTTCTAATCATTCACAGAAGAATAGAACCAATTCGAATTTTTTTTTTTTAAAAATAAAACATATATGTGTGGTAGGTCAATTGAATGATCTGGCAGTTTGTAAACAGCCTTTGACATTTCCCAATGCGCCATGCTTATTGAAAAAGATTAGTGTTGTCTAATTAGTCTGACAGAGTCGCGGTGGCTCAGTGGATAAAGCGTGTGCCTCTCAAAGAAGTGACTTCGTTCGAATCTCAGCGTTGGCTAAGGGATGCGAGTTCTGCTCCCGTCTCGCACCGACCACAGTGGACGTAAAACATCCTCAGTGGTAGATGGATCATGGGTAGGAATCACCGTACAGTCGGGTTAACAGTGGGAGCTTTTTGTGATTTTCCTCACCTTGTAACGCAAATGCGGGTTAGTTCCATAAAAAGTCCTCCACAAAGGCTAATCTATCACAATATCCGATAAAGGAGTTTCCTCGTCTTCTGAATTTGTTTTGAAATTACAAAGATATACGGACTTGAACATTGATAGTCGCAAACTCAGAATTGGGTCGGCTGTTCAACGACGGTTATAATAAAAAATATAAAATTAAATTCAGCCTGACACTTTCTAAGCTCTTTGCACTAAACCATTTGTTCTATTAGCATATTTTCAGGTAGTTTAGAAAAATCGCGAGAAATGGTGGCTTATTAGCCTTATTAAAGGTTTAATGCAATAGGCTTATGCAGATTCAGTTTGTTTGAATAATTCTTCTCGCATTACCTGCTCCCTTTAAAGGCTGATTGTAATAAACTGATTAGCCTCGAACAGATTAGAAATTAATGCTTTCCTATATTAGCAGTGTAAAATGCCGAAGACGTTTACAAAGAGCTGTATTTTTTAATTAGCATGCTTATAGTTACGTTTTATTTAAGTTATTTGGTTCTGGAATGAATGGGGTTTTTAAGGATGAACCCGCACCCCTCCTTAAAAAAGTATAATCTTTCCTTTTTACTTTAATTTCATTATTATTTGATTTTTTTAACTAGCAGGCGGGTACACTGTTCATGTGTTCACTGTTTCTTCTGGGAATATAAGCGGTGCTGAGTTGAAAAAGGTTGCAAAACAATGGTTTATTCATATAGTTCCTATATTTAAAAAAAACTTCGAAAATTCTTCTCTGAATTTTTCTTTCAAAATAAAATTAACTACGTCATTCTTGAAATAAGACATAGTATTTAAGTCTAAGAGATGTCTCATATCGACAGTAGACTGAAATGTTTTCTAATCTGTTGCTTGTTGTTCTGAATCGGAGAACCAATAAATAAAGGAATCAGTAAAGAAGGAAAATAAAGAATAAGCGAATCAATAGTTCAGCTAACAAAGGAAATAGTAAATCACTGCGAATCCATGAAGAAGTAAATCAAAGAGTTGGAAAACCGATTAATAAGCTAATCATTGCATAAGCAAATCAACGAATTAGTAGGTAAATTTAGGAGACAATCAATGAATCAGATACTAAAAAAATCACTGAATAAAGAATCAATAAATTAGCAAATCTATCAGCGAGAAAATGAATCGGTGAATGCACACCGAGCAATGCAATGAGCACATACAAACAAACGAACAAATTCGTCAGTGGATCAACAAATGAATTAATAGATGAATGAATAAAGGAATGAATGAATAAACGAATGAATGAATAAAGGAATGAATGAATAAACGAATGAATGAATAAACGAATGACTGAATAAACGAATGAATGAATGTATCAATCAATGAAAACGTCTATCAATGTATGAACTAATACACAAATGAGTTATTCAGAAAAATTTTGTATAAAAATATAAGCGATTTCAATAAGCAAATTAACGAAGCAATGATATAGCGAAATGTATAAGCTCATTGGTAGATATGAGATCCCTTAATTCAATAAATAAGTGTATCTATAAATCACAGAATTAATGAATGAGCAAATTAATAAATACGCAAATTAATGAATAAATAAATCAATGAATAAGCAAATCAAAAAACAAGCGAATCACTGACTGAACAAATAATTTTTTTCACTCATTGATACGCCGATTTATTAATCTGTCGATTCACTTTCCATGGATTTACTGATTTACCGATTTCTAACTCCGCTCATTCATTGATTATCTAATTTACGGATTCACACTGAGATTTATATTTTTTGGTCATAACGACAACCGTAATTTTTTTTCATATCCTGTATATTAAATCTTATATATGAAGCCATGGAAAAGAGATATGCAACATATACAGTTAAGACATTATGATAAACAAGCAATCTCCTTCTAAATCCCGGTAACATTGCAATCAAGATTTAACTTGAAATTACTACTACTTGCATTCGTATATCATGATTATTTGTAATTACAATTACTTGATTGCTCGCAGTCCTTACATGATGGTTATGTAAGCCCTTTATGATGGTTATAATTACTGCTAATCATGATAATCAGTAGTAGCAAATTAAAGTACTAGTATTCTCGATTAATTACACTTTTAATCATATATTTCAATTACTTGTAATCATTGCATGCTATTATTAGTAGTAATCCTACCCACTCGTAATCGTAGATTACAATTATTTGCAGTTGTGATTACTTGTTATTACGATAATAAGTAATTAATAACATGCAATAATTTTCTATAATCAATTACAATTGTAATCGATTCTTGCAATCGAAGCCTAATTCTTATATATACTACTCAAAAGAATATCCAAAATCCATTTTTTATTTAAATTGAATGAGTTACTATTTTAAAATTCAAAAAGAAGTTCTGTTTTAATTCTCTCATGAAAACTTAATATCATTTCTGCAAGAGCTATCATGAAATTGAGATAAAAAAAACTTATGAGGTTATAAAACTATCGAACAAATGCAAAAAGTGTTCTTTCTTTGCTAATACATTGTATGGCATAAGAGCCGCCATAACATGCATTTAACTTTTTTTCATATCTTATCAATAAAAATATGATTTACTTTTACTTATTTGGAATCAATGCACCTTCATAATGTCTATAATGTCTGCATAAAAAGAGCAGTTTCAATGCTACATAAATCGTTGAGTTTTAAAGTACCAAATGCCTTTTCATTGAAAATTGTGTAATAGGATGAGCATCAAAACAATAAACTTTATTTCATCAGAGTTTTGATAAATGTTTCATTGAAAAGACTTAAACTGAAATATATCTAGCAATCTTAAATTAAAATGTGTTTATGTATGCCTTTAGGGAGAATTGAAAAATCTGACCAATTGCAAATATCGCTAGGCTAATTGGAAAAGTATCAAGTATTTTCCAAGCAGACTGATATTTTTTAGGCTTATTACAACCAGCTTACATGACTTAGGCCAATTAGAAAATATAAAAGGAATTATTAAATCAAACCGGATTTAGGCTCATTGTAATGATTCTACTGTTACGCTGGAGCTTTAGTTGTTCAGTAAATTACCTCAAATTTATAATCGATTTCAACAAATTGGAGAATGACAATATTTTTGTCAAATGTACTAAACATGAATTCAAATGCCGATTTCAACGTGAGTACTTCAATTAAGAAATACTGTATAAGATAAAAAACACTGTGAAGGAATAAGTATTTCACTCAAAGCCGGTATCGAAACCGGGACAAAAGAACACACTGACCCCTGTACCATCTTATCATACAGTGTACACCGTACAGTGTATGTTATCATGCATTGTATGTTATATCTTACATCTTTATGCATATACATCTTTATTACATATTCTTATCATGTTTTCAGTGGAAACATTTTTAAAATCACGAAAATATCCGGTGATTTTACGACGAAAGCTAAAAAATAACAAAAACTGCGCATGAATTGCTGAGTTTGAA